GTTTGAATAAAAAGTAAAGTCTTTGGTTATAGGATGTCCTCCATATGTCTTCCAGTTTCTCCTGTTTGGCCAAATTGAAAAACACTTTAGGTAACATTCCCTATTTTTTCATCCAACTTCTTCATTTTCCTGTCAATTTTATTGTTAACTGTGCCATTAAAGTCCCCCGTCAATATAATTTGTTCATAAGTCACCTGATTCAATTCATGAATCAGCTCTTCAAAAAATTTCTCTTTTGCTCCATTAGGGGCATAAATGTTCACTACCAAAGTTCTCTTTTGGTGCATAGTCATTTCCACTGCAATGTATCTCCCTTCCTTGTCTTTAAAAATTTCTTTGGGTTCAAATTCTTTCTTAACATAAATCACAGTCCCCCTATTTTATTTTTTCTGCCAATGAATAAAATTCTTCTCCCAGTTGTTTAGCGGCCAAATACTTAGTCTTGTTTTTTAATATGCGTTTCCTGTAGACAAATTACATTACATTTTTGTTTTTCCTACAATGTTTCACAATTTTTCTCTTGTTAGGTGAATTGAGTCCATTTACATTCCATGATATCACTTTGTGCTCCATCATGATCTTCAGTTACTTATCACCAAAATATTTAGCATTCTCATACATAAATTCCAACATTCGTCCCGTAGTTTTAATTGTCTGTCTTTGACCCTGGAAGTTGAAACTCAATCCATGTGGTATTTCCCACCTGTACCTTACATCCAACAGTCTCAATTTGTCAGTAAGCTTCTTGAACTTCTTTCTATCTTGAACGATTACCCTGGAAAGCTCTTTCATTACTATTATCTTCTTTCCATCCATCTCAAAAGGCTCCATAAATTGCTTTCTGAAAACCTGGAGCTCTGGGCCAGAGCTCCAAACAGCTACATAGGTCTCTCTGATATTTCAAGTTAGAGGTGGTGCAATTCTAAAATTTCCATTTTAATTTCAACTGGGTATTTCAGAAAGGATGTTGTTACAATTTTCATCAAATTTTGGGAAATTAGATACTGTTTCTTAAATTTGCAGCGGCAGCCAACCCAGCTCCTGTTTTCCCTCATATGAAGCAGAGGCAGCAGGAACAGTGAGGGACTGGTGTCCAATGCCATTATATATAATAGTGAAAAGGACTGCCTCACAAAACACCCATGAGAAGGGAAGCCTAGAGTGTTCACTCGCTCTCCAATCACCACTGGACTGAAAGCACATTCATTTAAAAGGTCTATGACAGTGTGGGTGACCCAGCCTCGAGTCAAGCACATTCTGTCTCCCTCCCTTCCCACCTCTTCTGCATATGTGGGAGAACAGGAGACTGTAGACAAGCTGGATTTCACCACAGGGCTCCAGCTCACTCTCCTCCCTTTCCCCACTGGCCTGGAAAGCTGAACTAAGTCCTACTGAAGCCAGAACAATTCTGAAATTAAACCAGGAGACCAATTTTGCTTTCCTGAAGTTTTCTGGGAGTACCTTCTTTTGTTTGGAGTATTTCTGATCCGAAACAAAACAGAAAATCTGGGGCACTATTTCAGCTTGGGAATATCTAAATGCACATCTTTATTTCAAGTAGACATGTTCATTTCACATGACAGCATCAGTGACTGAGATAAGACTGAGCTGCCAATGGTTCTGGAATTTTATCAGTCCTCCATCTGCAAAAGGGGACAAATATCCACTGTCTGCCAAAAGAGGATTGCTATAAAGATTAATGTGAAAACATATTGTAAAGCACTTTAAACACTAGAAGTGCTACATAATGCTCTAAGGAGTTCATTTACAAAATTTTAGAGAATTTACCTCCCGTGGTCTTTCAGTAGCTTCATAATGGGATTTAGGCTCAGGGGTATGGTAGTTTGGTTTATTCCTTTCTTGCGGTTGTTGCTGCTGCCTCCTGTGGTCATGCTGAAGAGACAAAAGATATGCCTGCTCCTGTTGCAACTGACGTTGGAGACGCTCTGCTTGCCGATGTTCTTCCATCTCTCGCCATCTGTATTCCTTTGAGAAAAGACACCAGCATTCAAGACACAAACACCTGGGCTAATGGCATGCACTTGTCTTCTGGTGAGTTATGCATTTACTTCTGCTAAAAATGCCAACTAGTGTAGCCCAAAATTAAAATTAGACAGAAGGAACAAGTGTTTTCTTCTTGGTGAAGTGTTCTGCTCAATTTAAGACTGGAGAACTTTAGGCTTAGTGGTAGTATTTACAGTTTCTTTTTTTAAAAAAATTAAGGATGTCTAGTATATTGTTGAAAAACAGTATGGGGTTGGGAGGGGTTCAAGGAGGGGGAGGAAAGAGGTGACAACTTATCCATTATATCCACATTTTAATAAAAGATATTCTTATCTGCACTCTACTTGATCTGAGCAGGCTAAAGGGCTGTTTGAAAACTCGACTTCCAGACCAGAACTGTCACAACTTTAAGCACTGTGCACTGTGAGATAGCTGTACAGTATTTTTCACATGTGCCTGCCAGCCCAATACACTATAGCATGAATGGCTTTTGTTTGAGGCTCTATTATACAAATGGTAAAGTACGGCTGTGTCCAACTGAGGAAAGCCTGGGACACCAGTCAGAGAAAGGAATCCTATAGCTACTGAACAAAACAGATGCAGTGAGTTACCAGTAACATGGCCTGCTCCTGGAGCAGCTGCTGCTGAAGAATTTCCAAGTGCCGCTGCTCCTCTTCTAGCTGTCGCCTGATATACTCCTGTCACATAGAAATTACCCAGCAATAAAATTGTTCACAACAGGAATGTATCGAAACCACCTGAGGACCATCAAAAACAACTGCCCCAAGTCACCTTCAGGTGACAGTGCTTATGAATTTCGTGAATCCCTAGTGAACAAGTTAAGAAAACCCTGTCTCCAGAGACAAGGCTACACAGAGGTATTCCACTGCAGACTAAAGATAATTTTCAGGGGGGGAGTGTCACAGCTTGGTCTGATGAATTTTGAAAATGGTTTAAAAAAAATAAGCAAATGCACTTTTTAAACAAGTTGAGAGTTAAAACACAGCAAGTCTCAACACAGCCAACACAAAAATCACATGCAAATTTTTATTAAAATAATTAGTTTTAGGCACTGTGTGATGAACCGTTAGCAACAGCTAGAGCCAGGCTTAGTTAAGGCGACCTTTTGCAAGCTTCCTCACTGTAAACCTCTGCCACATACATGACTAACCTCAACCACAGACTTAACCTAGCCTCCATCAAAAGCAGACAATGCCAAACTTGCTGAAGTACACGGTGGTTATGACAAAAACAAACATCCACTAAAGAACAAATATACGACCAAATGCATCTTTCCGAAAGCTAAGTCTACACCTTGAAAGTCAAGATCTAACACATTTCCCACCTTTTCTTTCCCTGGCCCACTAAGCCAAATCTAAATATGCAGCACCATATCCAAAGCTAAGAATATCTTAACCATGCAAATTAATGAACAAAAGTAATACAAACACATGCACTCAAACATACACACAGAGAGAGACACACGGACAGTGTATGCAAAAAGAAATGAATGATTCAGTGCTATGGATAAATGAGGCCTACTGGAAATCTTATGAAGAAAAAAAATGGATGTTACATGAGTTTGTTGTATGTATTCTGGCAAACCCACAATTTAGGTAAAGGAGAATGTGTAATTTGTTAAGCAGCCCCCAGGACATCCTTGCAGAATGTCCATCACAGCAGTCACTGTGTATGTGCGTGAGTTTCAAAAGTTTGCAGCTAGTGGTCACAATCAAGCTTTAGCTGTGTACAACTGAGAACTACTCATCTCAGATGGGAATGCAGATCCCTAGCCACATCAAGCCAGTTCAATGAGGCCCAGATGAGCATTCCAATGCAGATACACATCTAGATGTGCATCACAACCTGCTGCACACAGAAGCAGTGCATTTCCCTCACTGGATCAAGTGAGTAAATACGATTTCATGGTAACAACCAAAGACATAAGGTATCTACTTATGAACAATGACAGGAAGGAAAGTTTCTGCTATACTGTGGAATGATGTGTTTAATTACTATTTATACATTGTTATGACTTAAGAAATACTGAAACAACATTCGATTGCAGAAAACCCCATTTTATGTTTTAATAACCTGTAGTGCCAGGCATTATATCTTGTGGATAAAAAGTGTTAATCAGTTAAGATTCAAATGTGTCCAAATGGGAAGTGTAGCTTTCCTGATATGTCTTAATGGGAAATTCATTATAATTCTAGATAATTTCTTTATCTCCCCTGCTTTCCAATTTAATTTGTTACATTATTTTAAGCATGCAGGAATTCATGCACAAAACTGGTAGATTAACATCACAATTTTGCAAAAAGGCTCACTTTAAATTTCTGCTGATGTGAATTAAAATGATAACTGGAACATATTTGAAAATTACAAAAGCAAAAAATTTAAAGTCCATTTGGTTGATGTGTACTCAAAATTATGACTGTTCATCTATTATGTCAAATAATTCAAATGCCATGGCTGCATATATGATTATTCAGATATGAGAGAGAAGAGAGCCCCAGTGTTCAATATCACACATCAAATAGGCAGTCTTATTTTTGAGAATATTTCATTTGAGGAGACTGTATGTGCAGTCTGAAGGTCTCACCCTTCCTTCAGGATTGTATTCATTTTGTATTTAAACTAGTGAGTCATTTGAGAATTTATCCCTCAACTCTGTTTCTGTATATTAAAGGGTAAAGAAATAATACTTAATTCATTTTCATTGTTTTACACTTACCTGTTCTCTCTCTACTCTCCTCTTTTCTTCCTCAGCTCTCCTCCTTTCTTCTTCTTCCTTACGTCTCTTTTCCATTTCCTCTAATCGCTTCTTCTCCTCCTGTTCTCTTCTCCGCTGCTCCCGCTCTTGCTGCCTTCGAGCTTCTCGTTCTCTTCTTTGTTGCTACAAAAAAATAAAATTAGGTTTATATACATTTATTGCTTTATACAACAAGAGAAACTTGGAATACCTGAGATACTAGAAAGATACCTGAGAACTAGGGTTGCCAACTTCCAGGTAGTGGCTGGTGATCCCCCACTATTATAACTGATTTCTGGACAACAGAAATCAGTTCCCCTGGATAAAATGGCTATGTTGGAGAGTGTACTCTGCGGCATGGTATCCTGCTGAGATCCCTCCCCTCCCCAAACCCCACTCTCCACCCCCAAAATCTCCAGGTATTTCCCCACACAGAGCTGGCAACCCTACTGAGTACACAGATGATTTTTAGAAACAAGTTACCAAGCAAATCCTTGAATTGCTTAACATCCACTTTTAAACAAAAAGAGTGAATATTTTGTTTTATTATTGGTTTACCTTTACAGTCAGTGGGAAATGTAGGCTGCATTTTATAAATAAACTTTATTCAAAAAGTAAAATGTAGATAAAATGAGTCAATAGTTCAAGGAACAGTTTGCAGTTATAGAAATGTCAGGGGTGAGATGACAGTTAGGAAAGTCAAGGCATACTCCCATTTTCATATTCAGTCCATTTGGGAGGACAGGGGTCAAGCAGAGTCAACAGGCTCAATCTAACAAGGAGGATATATTTTAAAGATGCTGTTCCATAGTACAGATTAATTTTCATCTGTCTGGAAATGTAGAAGCCCAATCTTAAACATTAGGCTGAACTACTTCATCAGCAGGGGACCGAGTGGAAATATTGTACACTGGAGGGTGGCAGCTAATCTCTCTGTATTAGCACATGCATCATTAGCATAATTTCAATACCATTTGTGCATACATGCTAGATATATAGCTACAGAAGATGGAAATGTTCTTTCATTTAAATATTACACGAAACTGCTTGAATTTCCTTCTCAAATCATTAGCTAGAAAATTAACACATTTAAGCAACCTTTTTTTATCGCCTAGCCACTCTTTTGTCATTTTTTTGCCTACCTTACTAAAGTTTTGAAATGACATAATTTTCTTCAGCTTTTTTAAATCAACAAATAGAAAAAATGGGATGTTAATGTTTCTACCAATCTCTGCCATATTTTTTTTTACTTTGAAAGAAATTTCAAATGCAAGAGCAAAGATTCCCCAAAGCCATACCTTCCAGTCAGCAATAATTTTGATTATTATCTGAAAGAGATTAAATCCTGAACCACTGAGACAACATTTTTAAAAAGAGAATGATCTTCTATCAGATGTGATACTTATAGGTACATTCTTGTCCTTTCCAACTAATTGTCCAAATTTATCAAGAACACCTGCACCAAAAATTAACTGCAATAATTAAGTCACAGCCTTCAAATCAGATGGAGATCATTCGAACACCCGCTGTGGTTTGTGGTTTCTGTGAAACCACTATAACACTTTAGCTAGTACAGAAACATGAAACACTGCCTCTTTTCTGACAGCAGATGAGTTTCTAGCACATACTGCAAATGTGCCACAGGATCTATGGCAGCTCTCTGTGGACTCCAAGAACAACCTCAACACCCCACATTTGTACTCAGCACTGTAGGTCTGATACCATTCCAGCTTTCCAACTCCTTACTAAGTACTGCTGAGAGAATAATTTTCTGCACCTATTCCCAATACAACTTTGCAAACATGCCTATCACATCCATCTAGGTATGTGACAGCACTGCAAAAAGAGGTATGTGTTTTTAAAGCAGCAACGGAGACTAGTTACTGTATAAAACTTTCCTATAATTCCTACCACAGCTTGTCACATGGAAAATACTTAATATACACAGCCTGAACCCCCTAACTAAAACAGACATGCCCAAATGTTAAGTCTGTTCAAAGCTCAGCTATGAAAGTCACAGTGGATATTTTAAATTCAGTTTCCCATGTTTTACTTTCTTAAAGTTGTCTTTGTAACACATGAGGTAAAATAAGGACACAAGTACTCTGTGATTTGGCTTTTGTCTGTTTGTGATTTGTTTTTCTCCCCAAGCAGCTTATTTTGGTCAATATTTTTCTAAGAATCTCTCTCCATTAAATGTCTGATCAATAGGAGCCAAAATAGTTTAAAGCTTTAGTTTGCTATCATACAATTATTCCAACCCAGAAAGGTTTCCCAACCAAAACTGTACAAGTAAGTGCAGTTCTATTTCTCTATTTCAGAGTCTTCACAATACACAATACAATACACTCTTTAAGAGTTGCCATATTTTGCTTTCAAAATATTCTTGCATTTTTGGACTGAGCATAGTAACTTCTCTTTGGCCTGAATGGAACAGTTTTATTAAAAAACAGCATAAATGAAAGTGCTTTGAGTACTTGCAATATGCATCCCTTCGGAAACTGGTTTTCAAAATGACAATAGGCCTTTGAAAAGCACAATATCATTTTTTTAAAAATGAGAATATGAATTCTATAGGTCAGGAAATAATGAAATTACTAAACTATTTTTTTAGTTCTGATGTGACCACTAGCCAACAGGATAAAATTCTGGCCGAATCAGTGCAATATTGGTCAACTGTCAATCCTAAATGTAATCTGCACGCAACTACCACAAGCAACACAATGTGGCTCGGAATTACTGCTTGTCATTTATATCCCACTCTTCCTTCAAAAAGCTCCGGGTGGCAAAACTGATGGGAGTGGTCTCATCTTCCTTTCTCAACAAACCTGATAGATTAAGCTGGAAGACAATGTCACCCACTGAGCTCCACTGAGCAAGAATCTGAACCCCAATTTCCCTAGTGCAAGTCTACTCTAACCACTTTACCATACTGGGATGGGTCCAGACTGAACTGGCAAATTCTGCTGATTCTCCCTTCATGTCATTCCTTAGGCTCTCCTCTCCTCCTCAAAAAGAGCACTTCTCGATGATTTCACAGAATCAGTGGACTTCAGTAGTGTGGGACATTGGAAAATTTAATCTGGATCAAACCCACTGGCTCTTACAATGCTAGCACTAGCTTATCCAAAACAATTTAAAGGCAGAGGGAAACAGCTAATACAAAAACAAACATTAAAAACGATCCAGAAGATGGCTAGGCTACTCCCTAATTTAGGCTACTCCCCTCACACTTTTGTGCTCAATGTAACTGGAGCACAAGATTCTCCACCTGAAGAAAAAAAAAAACGTGACAGCAAATGTTGATTTAGATCACCATTTTGTGTTAAATTGTAGGAATGATAGAAAACCAAACCACTGCCCCCACCCAAGCAAGCAATTTTTGGAGCTATTTGGAATAGTGTAAATGCTATAAATTTTATTTACAGCCTTATTTTATTTAAAGGAGGAAAACAATTGTGATTTTTAAAAAAGTGAATTCATGTCACTCGATGATCACAGCAATATTCCAGCAAAAAATGTTTGCTACTTTGGGCATTTTTAGTTCAGGTTAGTTTTTGTGATGTCTTATATAATGCTTCTGGGTCAAGAGTTTATACTACTTCAAAAAAAATAAAAATAAAACAAGGACAAACATCAAGATTTACAGCCAAATTCAGAAGGGGATTTTCAGAAACAACAAAAATCATTACTTATTTTCAATTTAGTTACCTCAGATCCACAAACATGCGGACTCGTTGCTGTGACATAATGAATGTCAGGTACATCTTGAATTTTGAAAGATAACCCAACAGTACAGACATGTATACACACACTTTATAGATTCTGGAGCTCTCAATGTTAAGAATCTCAGACAAGAATGCACACTCCCTGGCCCTTTGACAAAGCTTAAAAAGAGGTGCCTTGTCAATCTTGGCCTGTTTCTACCTCTTCTAATCGCCTCCTTTGCTCTTTTTGTTGCTCAATGCGCTTTTGTCTCTCTGCCAGCAGCTGCCTCTTGTACTCCTCTTGCTCTCGGAGCTGCTGTTCCTGTAGCAGCTGTTGTCTTCGAAGAGCCTCAGAACGCTCCTTGTTTTCCTGCTGCAATCTCAGGAAATCACGTCTCAGAGTAGATTCTCCAGGCACATTAACAATAGAGCTATGAGAAGAAGGATAAGTTATTAAGAACACCCAAGAAAAGGTAGCAAACAGCTGAGTATATTATATGTTGTGAACGGTATTAATTTTTCACTTTCATTTCATGTTATATCATTCTTTGATTTCACCAGGAGAAACAAAATTGTACAATTACACTGGGATAGATAGTAAGGTCAGCAGAAATCTGAATCTATAACCTTGTCAATAATAGTAGACAGACAGTTGGAGGCTTTTCTAAAGTCTCCAAAATGATAAAGATAACTGGGAGGAAAAGACCCCTAGCCTCTTCCTTCACTGAGCAAAGTTTATTTATTTAATTTATTAAAATATTTATACCCTACCTTTCCTTTTGGCTCAAGTTGAAGCCTTCCTCCAACTTAAGTGGCTCTTCTGTTGGAGGAACGGAATTGACCCCAACAGATTATTAACATTTGACAGGTATGCCCATTACAGTGTCACAGCTACCATAATGCTTTATGTTCAAACTAAGATGGCAGCCAGTATTTTTCCATTTGGTAGAACATGGTCTTTCATGCTCTTCCCAACCAAACAGCATTTTAAGTCCTCTCACAATGGGGAATGAAGCCACTTGTTCTGTTATGTGACACAGAACCTTCCATGTACTCTTTCATTTTATGCTTTCCTTTGTTACACACATTTAGGTCAGCACTTTTGCCTAGCAGGGCTTCTGAGTGGCCACTGGAGATCTGATGGGCTGTGCGGATTAAAAAAACAAAACAAAATACTGCTTTGATAGAAGCTGCCACCACAGCAGAAGGATCTTCACTGTGTGACTGAATGTAAGCTGTGTGTATGCAAGAAAATACTTTAAAACAATTTGTTCTTCTTAAAAGACACTCTGTTAAGATGACCTTCAACCTGAAATGGTTATGAATAACTTTACTTCCTGAAATTTTGTGTTTGGGTCCGCCTATCTGGGCAGCCATTTTGTAGTTGGTTCTACCTCTTTTGACAGCCATTCTGTGGTTGTGTCTACTTTCCTGTGTCAGAACTCCAAAGGTGCCCACAGGCTCAAAAAGGTTGGGGAGTAGCGCAGACCCTGCTGTTCAACAGCAAGGCCTTATTTTGTATGCTCACCAAATTTAAACTGACTTGCTTAAATTATCAGAATGACATTACCTTGGCTCTCCTTCTTGTTCAGGCACTTCCTCCTCCTCCTCTTCACTTCCACTATACTCGTATTCTGTTTCATCTAGCAGAGGGAGACAAGCAAAAATTCTCTTAAAACTCAATTTGATTATAATAGCAGAGATGAATTCCATGCCGAAATTATTTTATCAATAGAATACTCTTGGGAAAGCTCTGGATAACAACAAAAAAGAATCCATGAGCATTGTTTAGAATTCACCAGTGTAAAGTGAAAGAACCAGGGATCCTTTCTGCCCAGTGATTTTGATGGCATATACTGCATTTGGCAAGCAGGGTCAATGCCAGAAGCTCATTCCAATTGTTCTTACTGGAAAGTGGGCCACCCATAAATGTCAACTATGTTTTCAACCCCTCCCAGACTGTCCAGACTTCAAGATCCTCTTATCAAGCCCTGCTTTCTGTGCTCTAGCCTGCAGAGACGAGGCCAATGGTGACTATAGACAGGGCTATTTCAGTGGTGGCACCTTGCCTGTGGATTTGGCTGGTACCTACCTTACTCTCTTTTACATGGCAAGCCAAAATATTTTCTTTTAACCCAGGCTTTTAGTGATAGGTTTTCTGGCTTTCTTCAAGACTGCGGACTGCTTTACAAATATTCTTTTCAGACTGTTGTTTTATGCTATTTTATACACTTCCATATTTTTAATGGTTATAACTGTTAATGGATGGTTGTATGGCTTGTCTTTATGACTGTTTATACTTGATCATTCTTATACTCAGTGGTCATTTCCTGTGGGAGCGCACAGGAGCAGAGCTCCGGCAGTAAGGAGCCCAGGGGGCGGGCACATGCAACAAGCTCCACCCCCTGCTCCCAGCAGCCCTCAGTTGGACCACAAGGACCAAGAAGCAGCCAGGTAAGTTGCAGAGCCCCCCCCCAGCCCGCCTTCAGATACAAGCTCTCCCTCCTCTGTGAGGGCAGATCTGCGCATTCCCCCCCACCCCATAGCTAGCAATCCAAAACAGTCCAGTGGAGCCTGAGTGGTGGGTGTTGCCTTCTGACACACTTCCGATGATGTCAGGGGGTGTGGCATATGCAAATAAATTATGCTAATGAGCTCCTGCACCTCTTTTTCTACTAAATAAAAACTGCTTGTACTGTTTTGTTTTATTTCAGCATTTTGTGCGTGTTCTCAAACAAGTTTCTGGTAAGGTGGCATATACACTCTAAATAAATTAAAAAACAGGTAAATCTGCAACAGAGTCCCAAAATAGCACTCAAGATTGACCAAGAAGCTTGAAATTAGTATTACAATTTGTTTATGCAACTGCATTTCATTCAAATTATCATTTTAACTCTTGGAAAAAGTAAAAAACAAATATTGGGATCAGGACTAAAGTGTTACTTCAGATGCCCTCAGAACCTGGGCTGCCGAGAGCCACCATGCCCCCCCCCCGACTAAGATCCCATCTGCCCCTTCTCACCCCTGTAATGCTGATCAAAACAAAATATTATCACCTTGCTGCTACCATCCATGAATAGAATAATAATTGCTCATTAGATAAGAAACATTAAAGGAAAATGGGCAGATTATTAAAGAACAGATTTTACTTAACACAGTGCACACTGCAATAAGTTATGGTGCAACCCCCCTACACACACTTTCAAATAACAACCACCTAGCAGATGTCAACATTAAATGGGATGAGATGAATTTGAAGCAATCTAGCTCACAGCACTCTGCGAGCTCTCACTCTCTGTGTCTTGGAAAAGAAGGGAGAAGACGATTAGAGCTGATATGTATTTTTTTCCCCCCAACTGGCACCCATGAGCACCATGGCACCGATAGGTGTGTTTCTTAGCAAGTACTTTCTTCTTCCTCTAAAGCATCTCTTTTCTGAAACAAAGGAGTCCTGCGAGGCCCATATCTACACTAACGCTAGAAAGTGGCTCTAGTCCCTGGATTCTGAAATTCAACTGGCACCAATTCTCCCCTCCCCTCTCCTTCTGCTGCCGCCTCCTTAAACAGAAAGAAAAAGAAAAAGGAAAGCAGGAGAGAATGGAGAGAGACTGCCCCATCTCCCTCTCCCAGCCAGGGTGTAAGATTTCTGTTAAAAATCAAGCACATTCCCTATTCATCCTCGGCCTTAGCTGGATCCTGTCCTTGTTAACTCAAAGTGTGACTGTGAAGGGGTTTACTGGCATGTAAATATACAAAGGAGGACGGCAGCCTTAATTTCCCTGCCTTAATTTCTTCTCCCCGATTCCCCCATCCATCCCTTTCCATTCACCAGCACCAAATCCCTCCCCAAATAATCCCCTGCAATTATCCTCACCCAGATAAAAGTTGGGTTGCCAACTTCTTCTTACTAGATCCTACTCCTATCCGCCTCACAGTAGCTTGAACTGCAGGAATAAGCCAATAGTAAGTGTTTGTTCTGCTTTGTCAAAAGTTCACTTGCTGACTTCTAAGGCTGTCATTAAATGCACAGGTGCAAAACAGCTCTCTTTCTTGGTCAGTTGGCAACCTTATCTGGAACTTCCACTGCTTTGTTGATATTGATCTTTTTCCTGTGATTCTCATTCTGAGCAACTGCCTGGACATTTTTTTGCCCATCTAGCATCACAATGTGAGTCTTAACACCCCCCCCCATTCCTCTCTGGGGCATGAGATAATTGAGGTCCCCCTCCCCTCCCCTCCCCTGACAATATTGTTCTTGTGGCAGAGAAGCTTATCTGTGCAGCTCAGGAAATGGGACAGGGAATGGAGCAAACGGTGGGCTTTTTGTAAGGCAGATCACGCAAGGAGGATGACAGTAGATGAGGGACTGGCTATTGCCACGCAGACCATCATATAAGGGAGAAGGGGCACAACATGCCGCATTCCCAGTGTGCAGGGTGTGAAGTTGGCTGGCTACACAAGCTCAGAAAGGGGCAGGCAGAGGAAACTGAGTCAACCCCCACCATCCGTCTCTCACTCTAGAGGGAGAGAAGAGATCATAGCAGAAAGGGCAGAGGAGAGACATTTCAGGGGAAGCTAAACTCTTCTGCGTTGGCTGTCAGAGGGCCCCAGCTGAGAGCCCTTAAGCTGTGGCTGGGCCCCCTGAATTTTGCCCCCCCCCCCAAGTCTCCTATCTTGGCAGCCCAGCCCAGAACTATTAGCATAACGTTTTATCCAAATAGAAGACTGCTGTGCTATATCATAAACAGCATCTGAAACTCCTTTTATGTTCCACAGTGGTTTGACATGTGGCATTGGTGGGAAGGGTATACTACTGTTCAAGAAACGCCAGTTCTTGAACTGCAAAACCCACTCCTCCACTTGCACCTGCTGGATGACCTTGGGCTGTTCTTGAAAAAGAGCTGTTTCTGTCAGAACTCTCTCAGCCCCACCTACCTCACAGGGCGTCTGTTGTGGGGAGGGGAAGGGAAAGGAGTTTGTAAGCCTCTCTGAGACTTTGGGTAGTGAAGGGCGGGGTATAAATCCAATCTCTTCTTCTTCTTCTTCAAAGCCCATGTGGCAGGCAGGAGTTTTCTGGATCCTTGTCAAAATACTGAACCTAAATTTTCCAGGTCACAAAAGTAACTAGTATACGTGCACAAGTGCAATTCTAGTATTAAAACACGTACATACCTTTCTCTCCTCTCTTCTTCCTTGTTCTGTCTATATGATCTTTAAGCTGGATTCGGACTTGCCTTTCGTTTGGCTGATCACGTATAAATGGATGTTTTAAAAGCTGCTCTGTAGAAGGTCGTTGCATATAATTTTTCACTAAACAGCCCTCTATAAAACTAAAGAACTTCTTTGACCTAAGAGAGTGAAAACAGAGCACATGTAAAACAAAACACAGTTAAGTAACTTGGTCAGATAAGAATCTATTTGGTAAGAATCCTTCTTAAAGCTGATAAGCCTCAACTCTGATTTTTAAAAAGTTTGGCAAAGCCACAAGAATGCAATTCAGTTATGAGGGCCATTAAATCATAAGCAACTGTAAGTTGTGTATACATCAGGTAGAAGAAGGAGCATATTTTAATGCAAATAACTTGCCAACATTGTTTAAACTTTTCTGATGCAGTATTACACATTATGTCCACTGCTACAGAAATTTAGAATAATCCTACTAGAAAAAGTAGGAACAAGGATCCAGTTCAAACACAGAACTAGCTGATGGATTAAATATGGAAATTTTCTTGCCCTTTGGGAAGAAACAATGGAATAATGTTTCATTTGCAATGGAACCCTAAATCAAATACATTTACTACAGTTTTATATTTAACAATAATTCAGACAATAAATCCATGCTCCACAATGCAACCAGTCATCCTGGAGTTCTCTGCAGCTATCAAATAATCAACAAAAGATATTTTGATGGGATCCGGACGGATCAGAGCTGCATCTGCCACCTGTGCAGGGCCCAGGAGCACCGGAGCCATGAGGTCGTGGCGGTCGAGGTGGCGCGGGAGCAAGTGGAGGTGGGTAGGGCGGCCGGGCGGCTGGCCAACCAGGCACCAAAGGGCTCCTTTGTGCAGCCGTGCGCCGGCAGACGGAGGGGCGTCGCGGCGCACTTTCGTGGAGGTGCCTGCTGCAAACTTCGCTCACAAGCTAGACGGAGTGAGATGGCAGCCCCTGTTGATGCTGGGCGCATTCGGTGTCTGGAGCATTGGGGGGGGAGGGGAGAAGCGTCGGAAAGTTTCTGGCACCAAATGAGTGGCAAGACGCCTTGAATGTGGGGTGCCGGAAAGGCAGCAGGCAGTGCCGTCGTTTGCAGAATTGTTCCTACTGGAGGCTGTGGAAACATATTGCAGTTGAGGGGAAAGCACTTTGCGCATTCCCGGAGTGTACTTTTTAAAACCAGTATTATGGTTGGATTCATCTGAAAGCTCTGCCCTTTAACGTTATAGACCTTTCTGCTAGGGTTCAAGTACTCCATGGTGAAGGAAAGGCTCCGAATAGTTTGTTTAGTTTTCCAAAAGGAGAGGTGCTGGAGCTACTATTTGCGCAGGACAGGAGAATTCATATCCCTGTAACTAGAAATGGGAGTGGACAAGAAGACCTGAGCAAATAGTGCTCTTCTGGGGCCATTTCAGATACGAAAAATGGGATGGTAGGGAGGTCACAATCTAAATTGGGGGGCCCTATACTTAGGAAATAGATTCCTGGCAACATGGCAGGATTCCTGGCAACTGATGGACTGAAATTTGGCTCAAGAAGTCTTTGTTGTTGTTGTTCAGTCGCACAGTCGAGTCGACTCTTTGCGACCCCATGGACCAGCTCCTATTAGGAACTGTAATAGTTTGTCCCTAGTCCTACGGCCAGTTCATATGAGCAACAAGAATATACAGTGCAGTGATTGGGGGAATTCCAGATCTGTTAATAGCGAAGGAACGCACAAATGCAAACAAAATAGGGAGGAATTGTAGAGCAGCTACTTTGTACGCGAAGGTTCCAGGTTTTATTACTGGTATCTCCATTAAATAGTTTCAAAAGGAACACAGCTGGAAAATACCACTGCCTAAGGCTGATCAGAGTAGACCATACTGGGCTGGATGGACCTGTGGTCTTACAGTATAAAGCAGTTTCATGTATTTAGCAATTCCAGCTGAGAGCAAAGTTCAAGGGGATCCTGAGAAACAGGATAAAAAATTAGGATGCAATGCATGTAGTTGATGCAGCATGAACATACTATAGTCCTTGTCCCATGGCTGAAGTGGCAGAGGGCAAGGATACTGGCAGGGCCATATCTGAGGAATCCTAGGAATGCTGTTGCTAAGGAATCTGTAAGGCCGAGAACACAGTTTGTGTTTATAGAGGTGCGATACAGGCACACGTGTGTTGCAATAATGCCATTTTGTCTTCATTTTAAAGTAGGAATTTGGGGGTGGTTGCAGAACTGGGCTTCCAAAATATGGAACTGCTGATCCATGATGGGGGTGCAAGGAAAGCTGGTGTACTAGAACAAGTCCAGGTTGCCCAACTATCCCTGCATGACTGGACTGGAAGTTTAGTTGTCAAAGCATAAGGATGAGAGGCTGTTGATTTGGATAGAAGCTGATTGTGTGGACAGAGTGCACAGCAAGGGAGTGTTTGAGAAGTTATTGTGGGATGCATTAGTTGCCATTCCCTTCCCCCCCCAGTCGCTTCCTCCTGGTCAGGAAGGATGGCTCCAGAGCAAACTAATTTATGCGGCAGCCAAATAGCTCTCTCACACCTTTAATGGCAGTAGTTCACAAAGTAGAAGTTTTGCTCACAAAACTCCACAGCTTAGAGGGAACATTGGTGGTGGGCCCCCTGAGAAAAAAATTGTTAGCTACGGGCCTGTCCTTGATGCGCATGCGCTGATGGCCAGAACCATGGTGTGCCACCGTCACGTCTGATCGCATTCTAGTGGGTCTAATTGCGCCGGCGCAATCAGCCATGCCTCCCCCCCCCCGGTTATCTGGCCCATGTGACCGGGGCCAGAGAGAGTCATGACCATCTTACACCTCAATTCCTCTCTTTCACTCCCAAAGATATCCACAGACAGTATAGCCCAGCCCCCTTTAATAATCAGCCCTCATTCACACAGAGCTGTTGGAGTTGGGGCTCAAACACTGTTCCAATCACTCACTGCCACCATTCATTCACATCCCATACCATATGTAAGGTAAAGGTAAAGGTTCCCTTGCTCAAAAGCCAGTCGAGTCCGACTCTAGGGTTGCGGTGCTCATCTCCGTTTCAAAGCCGAAGAGCCAGTGCTGTCCGAAGACATTTCCGTGGTCATGTGGCCGGCATGACTAAACACCAAGGCGCACGGAACGCTGTTACCTTCCCACCAAAGCGGTACCTATTTATCTACTTGCAATTTCTTGCTTTCGAACTGCTAGGTTGGCAGGAGCTGGAACTAGAGACGGGAGCTCACTCCGTCATGTGGCAACTCGGATCTCGAACTGCTGAACTACCGACCTTCCACAGCCTGCAGTTCAGCGTCTCAACCATTTGAGCCACCGCAGCTCAAGATATTAAATTGTGTGTTTGTGGAAACAATATCTAAAGCTAAATATCAACTCATGTTACATGGTCAATAATTGTGTTATGTTTTAAATGTTATCTCATTGTCTGAAGATATAGACTTGTTATTAAGAAGATAATGTTGTATATTGCTTTGCTTGATACCGGAAAACGATTTATTTATCAATTGGAACCTGGTTATCATTGTGTATGTTATTACTATGGAAACTTGCTACAAATATTTTCAATAAACGTTCTTTCCCATAGACACGCAGCTGACAGGATTAATCAAACAAGAAAGCTTTGATTTATGATATGAAAAAAACAGGGAGGAAAGTAAAGTATAAAGTATAAAGAAGAACATTTCATTTCCATTGAACTCAAACTAAGGTCCTATTCCTACAAGAGGGATCCTTTCGTTACAAATTTACTGTTTTCAGCCTGCTCTAAGGAGCTCTTCCACACAGTTCCACTCAGTCAGAAAACCGTTCCCCCCCCCAATCTCCTCAGTGTCTAAGCTGTCTACTTCTCTGCTACAACCTCTAACAGATGTTTTTCAGCTGCTGTTTTCAAAGTTGCCCTCTCTCAATATTCCATCAGCTCTCATTGGCTGCTCTTAGGGAAAGGCTGAACCTAGCCTATCCAGCACACCATGGTCTAGCATAATGTTAATTAAGACATCAAGACTGATAGGAAATGGGATAAATCCCACTTTTAACCACATATAGGGATTTCCCACTACATATCCACCACTTGAAATTAACAAAGCCCTCAAACAATACAAGAATCCACTTTCTTCAGAAGGAATTTGGTGTGTAAAATGGATTAGTTGCTTTTCATGCCAGTTTTTATATAGTACTGCATCTGAAAGCAATCTCTACTGTCTTGTGTCTTTACTGTAAAAGCATAGCACTGTGAAATATGAGCCTGCCAGGTTCAAATTCATGTTCACAAATACAGCAGACCTGGTGAGGCTAAAATGACCACTGTATGTTGCTCAGAACTGCATGAAGCTTTGTTCAGTCTTTGCCTCAAAAGATTCAGAAATAACAAGTTTATTAATCAATAATACGGCAGTACTGAAGACTTTTCACCAATAATTCTGTTTCTGTTGCTGTCAGCATATACAAACTTGAATGAAATGAATGAAAGTTTACTGTTTGCTGTTTCTAACAAGCAGCCATGCTTAAAACAATCAAGGTTAACTGAATATCTCAACTGAAAAGGGGCAATGTCCATTTCTTTTCTTTTTTTTTTACAGTAAACTGATTTAGCTGTTTTATTGGTGCATTATGTGAACTGCCCTGGGCTCCCTTTGAGGGAGTGGGCAAAAACACAGCATTAAACTTTTAAATAACTGCACTAGTCTTCATTAATTTTACCACCCTTAACTGGGAAGGTAGGAATCAACAGTGTTGTCTTGTTTCCCTTATTAAATTATGTGTCTGAAATTAAGCGGTAAGGAGAATAAAACTAACATTTTTACCTTCAGCGGCTGCACAATTTGTCAGTTTAATGAGATGCTGCTCTGCCAACAACAATGACTCTTATTTTATGCAATGTCTCCAAGAGAAAATCTTTTTCTAGAACAAGGAGAGCTAAAAAAATAACCTATGCACATCTCATTTCAGGCTATGAATCAGCAGAGCAGAAGACCAATTTCGCCCCGCTGAAATGATTTTTCATGTCTATGGAAATACTACAAAGTGAACTCTGAAAAGGAACATGCGAGATCATAACCAAAATCCACTTCCTATTACAGAATAACTCTTAGCATCCACCTACCATTTCTTGGATTTTAGCCGTGGAGGAGGGTTTCTTGGAATGAGAAAAAGGGCTCTCATTGGATGCATGTCACAGAGGGCTGTAAATAAGTACTGATGGTTAATTTTCAGTTTTATCATTGATTTGATTTAGTATTTATATATTTCACAGTACCAAATGGACAAGATGGGATTAGGAGTCACTACAATGAATACAAAATACAAGAATATCCCTGAAAACTCTTGATCTGAGAGAGCTTAGAATCAGGCTATAACCTGATCCCTAAGAGACCATCTGTTTCATAATATGCCTCAGAGGCTAAGGATGAGAGCTGCCATTTCACAGATGTTTAAAAACTAGAAGTGAAAAAAAGATTTAAGATATTTTTTTTTTGCAAAATTATCCATTGTATTATACTGTTTAATCATTTTAAAGTGTTTAACACTGGGACTGCTACAATTTGCACATTCCAAATTCTACTGCACCTCTCTTCAGGATGCTTACATGGATTCAATAGTCTTCAGCTTTCCCTTGTTTTTTCTATTAACACAGCCCAGTCAAAATCATCGAAAAGCAACATTTTGGCACACAGTGTTAATTGTCAAGCAGAATTACAGTATATAGGATTTTGTATTTATGATGCCTTGTGGAGTGGGCATTAAAGGAAACAGAAACTCATCATTCATTGTGCTTTCAGAAATCTCAAGTGAAAGATTGGATTACAAAGCGGAACTCAGAAGTATAGGTTTCAAACTAAACCAGACCTATGGAAAATGGATATATATCACTTACGGGGAGCTCCTTCTGCCATCTCTATGGCTGTAATGCCACATGACCAAAGGTCACTCTGCAAAAGAGACCATATGTTAGCAAACACATTACACATTACGCCTTCTCAGTTACAGTTAATTATGCACTACGTGAAGGAAGACCAGAACTGCACAAACCCTGGACTCTAAAAAATGGTTTCATTTTCTTTTTAACATGCCACAAAGGGATAAACCATATCCTGCATATCTAAACACATACATATGACAATTTAAAATGACTTTAAGGACTTAGTCTTCAGAATTTATATTGCTAAGCTTTTGTAGTCAAATACAGATAAGTTTTTTATCGAATTACTGTATGTACACATTATTTTAAATGTGTTCATATTTCATACTCAACACCCTGGGGACCCTCTTTTTGGGTGGAAAGATGGCACAGAAATGTTTTAAATGAATAAATAATTAAATCCACCTTTCGAAAGGGAGAAAGCACTGTCCCCCATGTTATATATCAAAACAAAGCAGCTGTTTTTCTCCTTTGTGGAACTTTCTATAGCTGATGATTTAGAAAAGGCTGTGATGGCTGCTGGCAAAGTGAACACTGAGCAAAACTTTAGATGCTGGGAGGGGAAATAGTTTTTAAAAAAAACCATTCTCAAAACGTTACTCCCTAGAGACTTTAAAACCTTCTACTAATACCTTACCCTATCATATTTTAAACATCGCAACGATTTTCTAATTGCAGGAGCACTAAGGTACTCATCAAGAGACAATTTGCCCTCAGTTCTGATTGTAACACTCGTATGAAGAAGTCCATGCAGAGAAATGCTTTCAGGCTAATTTGAGATGAACACTCGGCTTCCGGGCACAATTATATCTCGAACGGCAACAACAGACTGGATCCAGACCATTTCTGCTAAAGGAAAGCTTTTCAGTTAGCTCAGTGGAACATCGTTGCCTCCCTGCTCCAGCTGCAGCCCACTACAGTCCCCAAGACACTATTCAGTGCTGCTAGAGCAAACTCGAATGCTTTCAAACATTCTCTACTCCACAGTCTCTCATTCAGGATGAGACATCACAGTTTATCTCCCGCAGTCCTATTTCAATTAATACAGAGTCCCTCATAAAGTGAAAAGAGACCAATCCTTCAAAGCTGTTCATTCATTTCTTTAATTTTTGTCCTATCCTTCCTCCTAAGTTCACACTGCAGTGTACACAGATTTCTCCTGCTATATATTTATCCTCATAGCATCCCTGAGAGATAGGGTTGCCAGGTCTACTTCCTCGACCAGCGGGGGTGGTGGGAGAGAGCCTTCTGAGAGTGAAGACGGTGCGGGCGACATCGCTGCATGCGATGTCATCAGCGCAGCGACACTGTAACATTGTGGTCAAAACTCTATGGTTACCATAGAGTTTTGGCCAAAATACTAGAGCGCCACCGCATGATGTGCTCAGCGTGATGACGTCACTTCTGTGTGATGTGATCGTGGTGTCATCAATGTGGGAGGGGCTTTTTGGAGTGGGGTTTTCCCCACTGGCCAGCGGTGGATTGGAGCCCCCAGAATCAGGAGGAACCCTGCCCGAACCAGGAGTCTGGCAACTCTACTGTGAGATATGTTAACAATTCCCTCTCATTCAACTATGCCAAGTTTATCCAGTGAGCTACATGGCTGAGTGGCCATTTGAACTCTCCAGTTCTAAAACCACTACTCTAAACACTATTCTGGCTCAAGCTGGAGAAGATACCTCACAGCAATTGTGTTGAAGAGGCCAAGATAAAAACTTCTAGATTCTAAATCAATTGCATGAATCTTTGGAAAGGATACAACAAGAAATAATAGAATGTAGGATTCTCCATTTTCAAGGAGGTAATGGTTTTATGAAAACAGCATCTCAAAAGAGCATTTGTTTCCATGCCAATACAAGGTATCAGCTCCACTCAATATCGTTTCACATATACAGGATATAAGAGCCCACACATTCACTTTCATCTTTGCCATAACAAGCCATCTATCATCTCAGCAAGCAGGGTGAGCTTCTGAGCGATTAATGTTTGGACTATCTCACCAAGTTGGGGGCGCACACTGAGGAAACTGGTACGCTAATCTTTCCTGCGCCTTAACTCCTGGAACACTCATTACATGCTGGAGAAAGTGTTACCTGGTTACCTACGATAATCTCAAATGTCATCCCAATCGTCCTGACTTTCAAGCTTAGCTTGATATTTACCTAAGTAATGCACCGATAACCTTCCTACCCAGGTTAGACAAAATATCAGTATTATTTCTACAAAGTATGCATTATGTTTACAACTGATCTGGATTTAAACAGCAAGAATGTCAGATACCACTGAGATGATACTCACTCCTAGATATCCAGAGGAATGGGAGAATGTGACAAGCATCATCTGAACTGCTTGCCTCAGAAAACTGCTCCATTAGGAGAAGCAATCATCTGTCAAGATATCTTTCTCCAGACAATTGTTTTTGCACAGTTGAATACTCAGAAACTGATATTTGGTGTTGCCCAGGAAGGACTGCAAGTTTGAACTATCCCAAAGTAGTCCAAGCCCCAGTGAGAGACAGACAAAAGCATACAGCCATCCGCTGCTCTTCAAGTCCTCGCTGACCTGAATGGCCCATGCTAGCCCAATCTTGGAAGCAAAGGAGGGTCTGCCCTGGATAGTATTTGGATTGGAAACCTCCAAGCAATACCAGGGTTGTGACAGGGAGGCAGGCAATGGCAAGCCCCCTCTGAATGTCTCTTGCCTTGAAAGCCCTACGGGGTTGCCGTAAGTCAGCTGTGACTTGATGGCAAAACGAACAACCAAAAAAAGTGATTGCGAATTTCCAGAAAGTTGCTGAGTTATAAAGCAGGAAGAGGAGGCCAATTCTAAGATCATTTAACCTTGCTGTTATTAAGGTTTAACGCCTTAATCAAATCGAATCAAAAAAGGAATTAAGGATATCTTCACAATAAGCCTATGTTTTGGGGGAGGTTTTGGCACCAGGAGTGAGCTACCTTCACAGCAACTCCTTTAAAGAGTCACTCTATATTTCCTTTACAGAAAACATTTCAAAATGTGAAACCAGCATATGGACAATTTACCAGTGCTATATATATATATATGAATATTCTTCCTTTTTTATACATGTTCTGGGAAGCTGAATGGTGTTTAATGTCACAACGGGCTGGATCCGGACTACACTTTCTAATGACAATGAAATAATGTCCACCAATTCCCTCTTCCTACCACACACCTCTGATACGCTTCTCCTGCTAATACTGCTAATCCCCCTATACCCCAGGAGCAGGATTTCAAAGAGATCAGTGGGCTGCAGTGGGAGGGAAAGGCGGGAATGTTCCGCTCCACTTACAGAAGTTCCTGGCATGAGTGGAATATTTAGTCAGGATCCACCTATTATTTCCATTAAAAAGTATTCCATTCAGAAAATGCTCAGCATTTGAAACACCTCTAAGTAGAACTTTTATACTATCTGCACTGATTTTTAAGGTTATCGCGTGCTTGCTTTCTACTTCTCTTTAATCAGCTTGAATGACTGAAATAGAGAAAAATCCATGACACAATCTCAGAATGATAGCACCACCCAGAAAAAGTGCACACAAACTGTGCATACAGAGAAAGACACACACACCTTAGCTACTATGTTAATATGAGTTCTCTTACTCTGTAATCATATGTAGCATCTGGGTTTTCGTCACAGGCAATAACTTCTGGAGCCATCCAGTAAGGTGTTCCAATAAAGGTATTTCTTCTACCAACTGTCCTGTCCAGCTGAGCACTCACACCAAAATCCACTACATTAGAAAATAAACAGGAAAAATAGTAAACATATAGAAGACTCCAAGACACCATGAAGTAAAAAACGTACAAGTAGAAACAACAATGAAACCTAAAATTTGAGCTATCTATTAACATGAACATTCACAGGGGGACGGGAGTCTCTGTGCACCATTAACTGATCTTTCTTACTTTTCACCTGTTTACCAGCAGAACATTCCTGTCATGGAGTTCATTACATTATCTCTAAATCACAATGAACATGTATTTCAAAGCATACATGCTGTAATACAAATGTTCTTTTTGGCAATGAGTATACTAGCTGAAGAACCAAAACACACACATTTAATAACCAAGCAACATCCATTACAGCGGTGAAACAACAGTGCACCTGTGTTCTTTGCTTCCTGAAACCTGGACCAAATTATTCAGCCTTGACATTTTCTGGACATGAATGGGCCTGAACGTGAATGCCCCACCTTTTGGTGACTGCCTCCCAGCAAAGAGACCACTTATCTCCTTAAGTCAACTCTACTTGAATATTCTGATTCTCTTGTAAATGCTCGGTTGTAATAAATGGGATGTTTCATCCTGGAGATTGTGTGATCCGGTACTGCGTTGAATATGTACCTTGGTCATGAGCAAGTAATTGTGCATATGCACTACTACTTGCTGCGTTTGAAACCTGTGTAAGAATATCCACAGATTTCATTGGCATATTTCTAAAATGCCCCTCTGCTGTCTGGTCCAGAGTTTCCAGGTTTTCATGGGCCCTGATGATACAGTATAATTGGGTTCCCTTCCCCTTTGGTACAGCCTCCTTATCCTCTAACAATACCCCTTTTGTTTGGCTCCACCCTGTTGGCTCTAACCCTTTCCCCTTTAACCACACACTTACTCTGGTAAAGAGAAGCATCCAAAATTTTGTTTTCTTCGTTGTATAAAATCAACACAGAAAATCACCACCCTATGGATGCAGGCACAGTGCAAGTCCTTGGTTTTCAGTGAGAAAGTGATTCAGTATAGTACTATAATGCCCAGAATGTGGGGGGGAAACAGCTCGTGTTGTTTCTTAAGCCAGGTGTGTCCCACAGTTTTATCAAGCGCAGTGTATTTAAGATTCCACAGGAACAATCCAAGGCACGTAAAAAAGAGCCTTTTGTTCCCTCATCATTTCCATTCTGATTCATAACTCAGATTCATAAGACATTTACAATGGATAAATAATTCCCACCACTCTTTTTGATAAAGTTGGCTATTACTTTTCAATGTAAACACTTCTGCCGTTCTAACTCATTAGTCTTTATATTACTATTCGAGCCTTTTGTTCCCTCATCATTTCCATTCTGATTCATAACTCAGATTCATAAGACATTTACAATGGATAAATAATTCCCACCACTCTTTTTGATAAAGTTGGCTATTACTTTTCAATGTAAACACTTCTGCCGTTCTAACTCATTAGTCTTTATATTACTATTCTCAGTTGTACCTCTATTTTATTTATTTTTTTATTTTTTTATTTTAATTTTTTTTCACTTATACCCCACCCTCCCCGCAAGCGGGCTCAGGGCGGCTTACATAGGCACAACTGTGCAATAAAATACAACAGGATTAAAACAGTTAAGGCACCAAGTGCAATAAAAATAGGACAAGTTAAAACTGCGTAGCTGCATAGAAATCTCTCTTCGCAGCCTTGACTGCCATCTTATAGGATCTCATAAACGTCCTATAAGATGCTCTTGTAGCCTCGTCGCGAATTCGACGCCACCGTCTCTCTAACCGTCTAAGCTCCTGTTTCATAAGCCGCAGCTCCTGGGTATACCAAGGGGCCAGCTTAGAGCAAGGGCACAGAGGGTGCCGGGGAGCGATCTCGTCAATGGCCGTAGAAAGGCGGCTATGCCAGTCATCCACAAGCTCATCCAACGAGCCGCCAGGGGGCATCGGATCCCGCAGAGCCATCTGAAGCCGCATTGGGTCCATTAGACTCCATGGGCGAGCTAAAATCTGCTCACCGCCTAAATAGGGTTGGGGAGAGACATTTGCACGAGCCTTCAGGGCATGGTGGTCCGACCATGGTACCGC